ATTGGTCATCAGGAAGATGCACAGCAAAGTCACACTGTGGTACCACTTCCAGGTTGGCCAGCCCACCCCGCAGGATAACCACGAGGAGTCAGACAACCTGAAATGTGCAGAGGCTGTGAGTTGCCAGGCTCCCGCAGGGCTGGTGAGAATGCGGGAGGGCTGCGATCTCTTTGGAAATCAGCAGTTTCCTAACAAGCCATATACACAGATATCTGATATGCAACAGTTACAGCCCCAAGAACTTATCCAGGAGAAGAAGAAATGTATGACACAAAAAGTGTAGGAAAGAATGTTAATAGAAGCCTAGCTCATAATAGCCTGGAAGTAGAAAAGAGCCATATGGTTAACAGCAGGGGAAAGACTGACTCCTGGTTCGTTCTTGCAGCTAAAGAGGAGCTGAGCTCCTCTGTGTCAGGGGCAGTGGGGAGGGATCTCAGAGACATCTGTAGAGGGGAGAAGGCAGGTGTGAGAGTGCCCCGTTTGATTCTGCTGACTGGGCATTCGGGAGCAGGTGGAATCACCCAGGGTGAGAAATCAAAACAGTCTGGAGAGACAGACGATGCCCTGGGAAAGGAAGCAAGGACTTTCTGGGACGACAGAAGTATTCTGTATCAGGACAAAGGTGTAGGTTCCAGCGGGGATGGACAGTTATCAGAATATTTCCAGTTGTACACTTGGGTCTTGATTCCACTGCATGCAATGAACATCACAACATTGCAATTATTAAAAAATGTAAAAATCAAAAGTGATGTGTCTGGAGCCAGACTGAGAATTGGAAGCTTGGTTCTGACCACTACAAAAAAAAACAAAAAAAGACAGCGATGATCACAGGCTCCTCGGGTGAGCTAGGGGTCCTCAGGAGGGCACCCGGGAAGAGGACGCACTGACCATGTGGACTGTGGCTTTGTCTCCTGTGGTCCTAGCACAGGCAGAATACATTAATAAATGAATTCCACCACTGAGATTCCATGGGAATACTCAGTTACAGCCCCAAGAACTTGCGGGCTGCCCTTCAGGCAAATTCCATCAGGGACAGAGGGGCCTGTGTTTACAAATGAGCACAGTCAGGTATGAGTGAAAAACACCCAGTAAAGCATGTCATGCCCTCTTCTACTGCAGGGTTTCCTCCAAGGTAAACAGTGGCAGACTTTACAGAATAGGCTTGTGCAAGCATTTCCTTCATCTGGAGAAAGAGGCTGTGGAAATTTACCTGTGCCAGAGATCCAAAACCCTTGTGACTTTAAATGTTTATTCCCAGGACACTGGTTTATGGCTTTCTGAATACAGTCAAGGACAATTTTGCTATATTGATATTTTATTCATTGTTGAAGACAAGAGAACAACTTATAAACCTGTTCCTGTAGTTTTTTAGTTAAATAAATTCACGACTTGAAGCAGCCAGTCAAGTGATACCTATGTAAGGAGATAGCTGGCATTATTCCCTACTTTGCACTGTGAAGAGCTGGAGAAGGTGGGCTCCAGACCCAGGCCAGATGGTGCTACGGCCGTGGTCTAGCTGCTCCCCTGAAGCCTCAGGGCATCACCGGTGGGGCTTGTTCAGGGAGGTGGATCTCGGGGTGCTGCTGGGGCTGCAGCATGGTACATGACCGGGCTCAGGCTGCCCCACCCTGGGTGTGAGTGCTCCCCGCCCGAAGGGTAGGTAGCCTGGATAAGACACCAGGGATGGAAATCAGGTTGCTGCTTGTCACCTGTCACTTGTCACTTGCTGTTTCTTTGCTACTTCACTGCTTTGTTGCCTTCTGCCCGCCGCAAATTGTTTCTCCTCTTCGATGTCCCTGTGCCATGCCCTGCCTTGGAGCCCACCAACTATGCACTGAAACCTCTACACACTGGGAGCCAGAAAAGTCTTTTCTGCTTTAACTTGTGGGTGTTGGGTATTTTGTCTCAGCAAGGAGAGAAGTAACTACCACTACTGTGTTGAGCAAGTGGCTTCCCTTGTGCCTTTGTCCTCATTTATAAAACATGTACTTACCACAAGGCTAACACAAGACTTGGAGAATTAAGTATGTAAAATGTTAGAACTAGACTTCCTTGAATAATATTAAAATTAGTTATTCCTATTTTTATCAATATTAGCTATTCCGATTGTTATCACAAGCAGAACCCTCATCTACTAACAATAATAAACACAGCATAATATAAGTTTTACAAAAATGGAAGTATCTCACTAAAATAGTACAAAAGCAAATTCTGCAGGGCACAGGAAGATGGAGGTGTTACAGTCAAACACTCAACTCTAGAAAATCTAAAACAGGTTCTTATTATATTTCAGCAATGCAACTGAAAGACTCAAATACTATCTAAAACAAACAAAAGCTCTAACTGTAGACTCTTTCTTTAGAAGACACTGCTGTCCCAGGGCTGACCAAATAGCTCAGCGATTAAAGTGCCCGTATGCAGGGCCTGCCGTGCTGGCCCCCGTCTCCTGGGGTGCAATGAGCTGGCAGTTGAGACACGGTGTGGTGGTGTGCGCCTGTAATCCCAGCTCTTGGGAGACTGTAAACAGAAGACTCACTACAAGTATGATTTAGTAGTGAGACCCTAAACACCCTGTACACCCTTCCATAAAAATACAAAAAAAGACACTGCTGTCCCTGTGAGAGTAAAATGGAAGGGTGGTTGCTCATCTATAATATAAGAGAGCAGACATGTCATCTTCTATAAAACATAAAATAAACACATTTCATCTCGAAGTTCTGTGGGCAAAAAGGAGAAAGACTTGTAGTCTCCTTGTTTCAGGTTAAAAGAAAAACCTGAAATACATACACATCACACAGCCCACTCTTGACAAGTTCTTCTTCATTTTACTTTTATAACACAGCAAACATAGCTCAGCACATTTCAAACTATCCAAACATACAATCATTGCAGAATATTTCAAAAATAAGAAAAATGATAAGATGTTCTGCCCCCCATAGACAACAGGAAAGTGGCAAGTGTATTTCTCACTCTGTTCACTCTGTTCCCAAGTATGTTTCAGTTATTAAAATCCTGCTTTATACACATTATATGTCGTGCATTTTAGATTTAATGCTATACTAAGAGGAATTTTGCCTTATTCTTTTTAAAGAACCTGGACACAAAAACAGAGCCTCTTGGGTAACTCTGTGGATACTGGAATTTCAAAACTCTTTCTTGAGGTCTTGTTCAGATTGAGCCCACAAGTAAAATGTGTTAATGTTTTGTGAATTGCTTCTTCATAGCAATATGAAATAACTAGTTATTAATATATGAAATAACTAATTACTAAAGAGCTACTGATAGCTCTTTAATAATGAATTAGTAGCAACTTAGTGATTGAATTTTATTAGCAATTTAGTAATTGAATGTTATGTCCCAATTCTATTAGAACCAAGAAATGCTTTTGAAGAACCTTAGAAAAGCATGTAAGCAAAAGAAAAAAAAAATATGTAGAGAAATAGAATGTCTGTGCCTAAAACCCTAGTAGGCTCACTAGTGAGAATCATGTTGGTTAAAATGGTACATGTCACAGAGTGTGCACATGTAATAGGGATTCCATTATATCTGTTCCACTAAGGTCCCCTCCGAATCCACGCTACAACACTAATCAAAGATATTTAGAGGACTGGATAGCTGAGAAATACATGAAATGACTGCGTAAAGAAAAGTTTCCATGAGCTTTCCTCTTCCTGTCTCATTCTTATCACTCATAGTATAGTCTCCTAAGTATCTCCATTTACCCCTAACAAAATCAGTGTTCAGACACTGGGAGTGCATTGCAACCAGGCATAATGGTGCATGCCTGTAATCCCAGCACTAGGGAGGCTGAGACAGGAGGATTGCTACAAGTCTGAACTATGTGGTGGGACCCTGTATCTCATATATATATATATATATGAGAGGAGGTGGATGAAATAAATCGGACACCTATGTTGCTTCTTGCCCAAAGGGCTGATAAGTCGTCTCACTGACCAAACACTCAGAAGTCCTCTCATTCTCCTGAGAGATTCAACCTGTCGTGGAACCATGAGGACCAAAGTCCAGAATTGTCAATGCAGGTTTAATGGGTAAACTCAATGACAACATTTTGGCAAATCAAATTGATGGAGAGGTTTTGACTTGTGTCTCCCATGAACTGTGAAAGCCATCCCTGCCCCAGACACTTGAGAAGGGCAGGGCTTAGCTCACTGCTGTCACCCAGGCCATCACCTTGAGCAGGCCACCACCACTCCCAGAAGACATCAGTGTCTCTGCCATCTCGTTGTTGATTTAAAAATTTTGGAAGCTGATCTCTCTAGCTAATGAGAATACCACCACCCCATAAAGATCCCAACAACTCCCTCCCCTGTGGAAGCACCTGATGAGGTGTGACATGAACACAGCAGAGGGCTGAACATAGCAGAGGATGAAAAGCAGTGTGCTTGCCTTCAGGCCGGGTCAGGAGAGTCTGTCCCCAGCCCAAGAGCCTCCAAGAGCAATGTCACCCTACAGTTTATGAGGCTCTTTCTTTCCATCTCTTCCATACATGTACATATACACAGGCACATATACACACAAGTACATGCATGTAACATATACGTACATGCATACATAAACATATACACATGTTCTTATATACACATGTGCATATGTGCATGCCTTCATACATGTACACATGAACATATGCATACACCCATTCCACTTTCCACCAAGGAAATAGAGGACTAGACCTAGGTTAACTGATCAGGTACTATTCTATTAAAAATGCAAATATATCTACTCAAGAGACTAAAGCAGGATTACAAGTGAGAGCCCACCTGGGCAATTTAGAAGACTCAATATAAAATAAAAAGGGCTAGGGATGTAGCTCAGCACTACAGCACTTGCCCAGGAAGCATGAAGCCCTGGGTTTCATCCTCAGTGCCACAGAAGAGTTTTCAAGTGCAAATACAGGGTTAAAAATCAAACATTAGCTTTTAAAAGACTGGACAGTTAAAGGTGTGCATACCTATGTAAAGCTCAGAGGCTTGTGAGCTTACCGAGAATAATTCTTCTTGGTGAAAGCTCTGGGCTTCGGGGAGGAGTCCTAGCTAAATGTGACCAGCTCTCCATGAAATCTGGAGGCAGCGTGGTTAGTCTGTTGCTTGATAAATCCAAGTAGGCGAGGTTCTTCAGGTACCTGCCTGCCTCATTGGGCACACTAGTTATTCTGTTATTGTGCAAGTCCAGGGTCTTCAGATGGGGCATGTCGGACAGAGAGGCCCAAGGGAAGGTGGCCAGAGAGTTCCCGTCCAAGCGCAGTTCATGCAGTTCCTTCAGATTGTAGAAGCTGCTGGGCTCCACGCTGGCCACGGAGTTGTATGTGAGCCAGAGGTAGCGGAGCTCCACCAGGTAGTAGAAGGCCTCGGCAGGGATGCTGTGGATGACGGTCTTTTCGATGCGGAGCTTGGCTGTGTCCACGGGGATGTTGGTGGGGACTTCACTCATGTCCAGATCATTACACAGCACTGACCTAGTGTCACAAGAGCAACACAAAGAGATACACTTTCAGGACCCATTGGGAAAAATAATCCTCGATGGAAACATGTATCAATATTTAATTCCCTCTTGTCACAAGATATTTGCAACTTGGCTGACTTGGTCATTAATAATGTGTCACCATCCTCACTGCCTTCATTATCATGACAGCAGCAAACATGAGGTTGAGCCACATGAAAGGGTCATGCTCTTAATACAAAAGGACTAAACCCAACAGCTTCATGGGGTTCAGCTGGGCATTTCTGGAGCTCTTTCTAGGCGAGGCTGGGCAACCCAGGTCACATCTATGCCTTTATTCAACCATTACAGCGGCCCAAGGCAGTACATCTTGGGGAATGGGGAAAGGCCCCAGCTCTACACTCAGGCTGGTCCAGATTCACACCCAAGCTTCACTACCTCCCTGCCGGGGGAAAGCCACTTTCCAGAGCCCAACCACATTTCCCATCTGGTATTCTTATGACAATATGTTAAAATGGGTATACAACTCTGTGCCTGTCTGGCACACCATGAGCACCCTGTAGGTGTTTACTGCTATCCTCGACAATCTCAGTTTTGTCTCTAAAATGAACACAGTCCCCAGCATCGTGTAGCTTGTCAAGGACTTCCTGCTCGTGAGTCAGAGCTCCCTGTTGGCACCAACATTACCAACCCAGAAGGGCACCCTCTAGGACAAGGCCCAGGCTAAAAGAAGCCTGCGATAGAAGCATAACTTGATCCTTTTTAAGAGAATCACTTTCTTGGGAAAACAAGCATTCACGTGAGGTGCGTAACGTCCAGCTCTGCTTTCACGACATGAGCTTTGCATTGCGCTCCACCTCAGAAACTGAATTTCTCCTTCGCACCACTCACTCCCTTAAATGACCTTGATCAGGTTACGCTGTGACCTTATTTGCTGGCACAATAAAACAGGAATAGAAAAACAAGCCTGTCCCTGGTATGGGTGTAAAGTGTGAAGAATCTGAGAATTTACATTCACTTCAGCCTGGAAAAGAGTCCTATTTATCTCCCATAGTATACTTATCTATGTGCCTGAAAAATGAACAAAAAACAGTTTTGCAAACAGCATCAGAATTACAACACATTACGCATTTAGCAAATCATAACAATAGAATAGTCATGAAGTAAAAATACATCACATTAAATGAGTTCACTTCTAGAGTCAGCACACAATATGAACAGCGTGAGCAGCATATAATTTCAATGTCCTCGGTAGCGTCACCTTCCTGTAGTGCTTGGAGAAAGCATCACAGAACCGTGGAAATACTCTGAAGATACCTTTTTGTCATCGTCTCTATTTTATATAGGGGAAAGCCAGTGCAGGAAGCTAAAAGCCAGACTCTCTCTTAAACATCAGCCCATGTATGTGGCTTGGACTGTTGCCATTCCAGCGCGGAGCCGTTGTGCGCACAGAACACACCGCAGCTCCTTCGTCCGTCTCCTCCCTGCGCCTTCTTCTCCTCCTCTCTGTCTCTGGTCCCCCGACCCTGTGGGAATGATCAGCCTCCCTGCTTCCTACTTTCCACTGCTCATTTCGTTCTTCGTTTGTACTTTGGGTTCCTCCCAGGAGAGCAGCCCTGGGACGCTGCAGTGTGTGCCTGGAGTCTCCCGGCGGCTCTCCATTGGACACAAAGCCACACTTCGTTTATCCACTCTTGTGCTAGTGCACACTGACGGGCTCAGTCACCACATCAGCACACTTCTGTGGCCTCCGACACGTCACCTCCTCTCTGTGCAGCCTCGGCTCTTCATGGCTCTTCATGTGTAAATGGACAGGGTTAGCTAGCGTATTTCAGGCATTCTTGGCAGGCCGAATAGGCTACGACTTTTGTAAAATTGGTCAATAAGGAGCCACCATGAGGAAGGAAACATTTCTTACAGCTCTCAAAAGTAACCTGGGCTGGTCATGAACTGCGGTAGACTGCTGGACAGAAGGGCTTTATCCTGTTCTGTTTTTAGTATCTTTAGCTACCCAAGTGAATAGCTCAAAAAGACCAAAAAAAAAAAAAGCTCAAGGGAAGCTTATAAATAGCTAAACAAATAACTCACATTATGATTGATCACGATTACGATTACAAACACTATTACTGGCAGTGCTGGGGGCTGGGCCTGGTGCTCTCCACTGAACTACTCTATAGCCTGAATTATTATTATCTGTTTAAAGTTGTGCTATTATTTTTACTTGAGTCACAAATAATCAGATTTTATTACTAAAAATATTCTATACAACAAATCAAGGTCTACTGTGTTTAGCTAATAAGAGTTCTACTTTGCATTTAAATTATACTTAAAAGGAGATACAGTAAAAGGTAAAAGTACACCTATTTACAGATAAAAAGGAGATACACATGAAAACAAATTACTGTTCTTACTCCACAGGTAGATGCTAACACAGCCCATGGGTTACAGAATTCTGTAAATCCCTACAATGTCTCCAGTCAGCCGTATTTATCAAACACCTTTAATTTGTCAATTCCACTAGTTAAAATGAAAACTTCTAAGTAAGGACCTCTCTTTCTCTCCTCTCTTGCAATCTTCCTTCCTGCTGTCTATGGCAGTCAGGAGTAATTCTCTAAGGAGAAGGAAATCCCCAACAGCAAACAATGTGGGTGCCTTCAGCAACCTCGCCCAGCCCTGCGCTTTCTAGAATCAGCTTCTGAGCTGGCCACACACCCTGCAATAACCAGACTTCCTGAAAGGGACATCTGTATCAGTGTAAGGAATACTTTTGTAACACACAGTTTGGAGAGTTTCAAATAATTTGCAAGTCTTTTGTGAGTTAAACTGCTTAGCATGAAAATGATAAATGGACATCTATGCAATCAATATTAACAGAATTGAACCAAAGTGTATGTAAATTAAACTTCTGCTTTCTGATAGTCAGAAAGCGGCTTGCTTTTAAAATCAGGCTGACTCCTGTGGGCACTATTGTGGCCAAAATAACCAGAACGCTTAGTAGCCAGAGGAGGCCCTACCTTGATCCTGAGCCGTCGTTCTTGCCAAGAAAATCACACGTACACAGAGAAGGACACGAAGCACCCACTCCCCCTAAAAAGCTAAGCATCATGCACACACATGCAAGCAGACACATGGCTCCTTCCGACTGCACAAGAGGTAAAAACCAAATCCAAAGCATTCAGAACCTGTGCAGTAGGAACGCAAGCAGCCCTTTAGGAAGAGCAGATTACTAGGGATTAGCTGGGAGCCTGAGTTACTTAACCTTCAAGTGTCTGTTGCAAGGATCAATCGATCCAGCCTCTGTCAGTGGTTCATCAAGTAACACATGCTCAGGAAGTGAAAAATCAGACCCATCAGGGCAACTGCAAGCATTGCCCATAATTAGATTTACAAAGAAATAGCTGCTAAGTCACTTTCCTGCAGTTGCAACTGTCACCAGACCTTAAAAATACACTTAAAGTTGAAAAGAATTAAGGGTGTTAGGCAGGACCTAAGAAGTTTGGTAGCTTATTTACAGTTGCTTTACACATATTTTTTTTTTGCATTTGCTTTTTATCAATGTGTGTCACTCAGTTTTACAAGATTTAATTTTAAAGATAGAAGCACGTGACACTAGACTGATTTACAATAGAGCTATCAGTGTTGCCCCATACTAGCCATCTCCAAAAGCAAAATGAACCAAGTACAGGGCATGGGGTTTTAGGAAGAAGACAAAGCCTTCTTCTCATGCTAGGGAGGCTAGGTGAGAAAGCCTTCTGAGGATCTCCCGGCCATCTGCCCTGTGTGAGCGCATCCCGCATGTGCGCTGTTACTGCAGGCAGTTGGCTCTACGAGGGCATATTCTACTCTAACCTAGTTTCCCACATTTGGGGAATCAAAGTCATATCTGAAGGCCCACTGTAATATCCTTCAGGAGTATTAGGCTCTAACAGGAAATCAAAGTTTAATTATTATGAAATTATTTTCACACACATAAATTGAAGAACCTTCAGGGACAATCAAGATGTTAATCTTCATATTACAGGCTTCTATCCATCATTTTTAAACAGAAAAACATTGAAAAAAACAAAATCAATTCTACAAAAATGACAAAATATTATGGGAAAGATTACTGAAAACTGAGTGCTTGAGGCTATGTAGGTCTAGACTTGAGCCGCAACAGTCTATCTCCCTGTCTTGAAGCCAGCCCACTATGGGCTGAAACTTCAACTATGAGTCAGAGTTGTAGGTATCAGGTATTACATCCCAGCGATGAGGAAGTGACCAAGACAAGAGCTAACCTGTCAGTGGAGGGAGGCCATAGCGGTCAGGCTTGGGGTGGGGCCTAATCAGCACAACAGATCATCCTGTCAGGTCAAACTCCTTAAGTTGTTGAGATGGAGCAAGGAATTTCACATATTTGTATTCAATGACTATAGTCTGAAGTCTCCCAAAGGAAAAAGAAACCTGTACTAAATGTTCCCAATTGTACCTCCATGGAAGTAAAAATTAGAAGGAGTTTAACCTGTCAACTATTTAAACAACAGTATATTGTGCTATATCTAATAGTAATTGAAAATTACAAGTGTGTTGATCTGTAAATTCATTGAACATTCAACAAGTATTTATTTAATGCCTACTATATGCCAGATAGAATGTGCTAAAACTATGTGATATATTGTGCATGTGCTAAGGATATATGAGAAAACAAACTTGCAAAAACTCCCATTCTTATTAAACTTAATTTTAATGGCAAATATATGGAAAGACATGCAGAAAAATTGAATTAAAATTACAGAATACATAACAAAACTCAAAGAGATCATATGGCTACATAAATGTATATGGGCATTGGAGGACATGATTTATTATCTTTTCTCCTTCTTGAGAAATATATAATTTTTAGGGGGTTGGGGGAGTACAAAAACTTGAACTCAGGATCTCACCTACCTTTAGCCAGGTAGGTGCTGCACCACTGAGCTAAATCCTCAGCCTGACCGACATGATTTTAAAGCAATAATATTTAATGTTCATTTGATTTTTTGATAAATATTAGTTAATAATAAGTATAAATTTAAAAATTTTGAAATTCTAAAATTATCATTTATTTGAGCTGGGAACATCTGATACCTAATTTTTATGGAAAATTATTGTGAATTTATCTAAGATTAAAATAGTGGCTGTTTCAATTCTGATGGAGACCTCAGGGAGTTATGGATCATCAATACAGTGCAATGTGTGTCATGATAACAAAGAAGAAAAGGGCCATTGCTCTTATATGCCGAAATTCACCAAAGGAAGTGAATAATAAATCTACATACAGGGAGAGCAACAAGCATTACAACCAGCCCGTGCACCAACACAAGAACTGCAAGCTCAACAGGATACACATAGACTTTAATGGGACAATAATCTACATCTATACTCAATCTGAACAGGTCGATTTCTTTTTAATGTATGTGGTACAAGGTCTCACCATGTGGCTCGTACTCTTAGTGATCCTCCTGTTTTAAGCCTCCCCAGCACTGGGATTACAGGTGTGCGCCACCATGATGGGTCTCGGAGTCAGCTCAGTGTGCCTGGGGTAGAGCCAGTGCAGCATACATTGCTGGGATCGAATGCTGGAATCTGTGCTTGCCTAAGCAGGCACTTAGTTCGCTGACCTATCTCTCCAGCCCATCAATAGACTGATATGTAAAATAAAGTTGGAAGTACTGAGAAAGACACTACACAAATAAAAGGTTTTGATAGCATGTGTTTTGCTCTCATTTCAGATTCTCCCAGAAGCCAGTGGGCTCTGAGATGCATCCATTGGTAGAATGCTTGTCACAGGCATTGCTTGGTGAGTCTGACATTTGAACATAGCAAACATTGCCCTCCGAAACCTAGAACAAAAGAAAAAAAGTCTAGTATTATCCTACAATGAAACCATGAAAGCCTTCACAGATATGGAAAGCACTGTCAACTGACATCTCCAAATAAATTTGCCTCCATTTTTAACATCTGCTTCTGAGAATCACCATGAATTCATAGCTTATATGCATGGTACAGCTGAAGACCCATTTTGTACCACTGATTATCAACACAGAGGACATTTAATAAAAGCAGTAATGGTGTGTGTTAAGATGACACCTCAGCGGCCGGGAAGATGGCTCAGTGGAAAAAGCGCTTCCCTGGCAAGCTCACAGGCCTGAGTTTGATTCCGGGTTCCACCAAAAAAAAAAAAAAAAAAAAAAAAAGATGACACCTCAAACGTCAAGTGTAGGGAGTTACTTATCTGTACTAAGTATATGGGCTGCATCCACCCAGCCTGAGCAAATGTGCACTGGTTGACCTTAAGGGCTTGAAAATGCCTGACCTTTCCAGAGGAACTTCCAGCAGACTTGGAATTTCAAATGCATTCTTCATTCTCTTCCTTTTTTTTTTTTTTTTTTTTTTTTTTGGCGGAACCAAGGATTGAACTCAGGCCCTTGCGCTTGCCAGGGAAGTGCTTATTCCACTGAGCCATCTCCCCGGCCCTTTTATCTCCCCCCCCCACTTTTTTTTTTCATTCTCCTTCTGTGATCTGTTTGGCCTTATAATGGTTCCATTCCTTCACATATCTGCATCTAAAGCTGCTCTCCCAAGCATGTACATAAATTCACATTTATCACGAACAATACTGGCATTTCAGGATCCAATTCCTGACCTTTACTGAGACTTCCTGGTCGAGGACATACGGCACATTGGTCCATCTTCCAGAAGTGGCAGAAAATGAAATCATGTTAATATCACTGAAGGTCAGGAAAGCACTCAGAGTCCTACAAAAGGTGGCATGGGCTTCTCATTCATCTTGAGTAACACCCACTCATGACTCCCTCAGGTTAGCACTGGGTGACTCTGCTGCATTTGAAGGTCTTCTGTTTGGTAAATGCACTACTGTGCCACCCACTACGACAGCCCAGTGCTGCCATCCAGTAACAGAACCACTCATTTGTTTAGAAAACACTTCGTCAGTGTCAGCCATGTGAATGAGTCACAGCCATTGCTTGACCAATTTGCTCTCTGCGAAAGCCTAAAAGAATGTTTTCTCTCCATTAGGCACTGTCCTTAGGCACACTCTACACCACTGATCACTTCTTCTGTGGCCCCATAATCTCCTTGATCAGTAAATTTGGGACATAACTGAGTTACAGGATGTTACAGTACGGGTTCTTCCATGTCCTGAGTCCTCACTGACTTTGAAAGGCTAGGGCCAAAGTGTTGGCTGTCCTTGCAGCCCTTCCTTTTCTCTAATTTTTGGCCTGCAAACTTAGGTTGTTAACCCTCCAGAAGAGAAGTTCAATGATATTATTACCCTATAACATAGGCAGTTGAGCTTAACCTCACTATCTGTCTGAATATCAAACATCTTAGATATAACATAGGACAGGTATTTTCCATCAAGAATTGATATGTTAAACTTTAAATCCCTACAGAATATGAAGAAAAAAATTTAAAAATTTAATTTAAAAAAATAGGAATAAACAATTACATATTTTTACACAGAAATTTAGAAATCTAACCATATACAGCATTATAGTAGGAAAGTTCTATGACATTTTTCTCTTATCTCATGTTTTCATTTATTACCCTTTTTTTAAAAAAACATTTACTTGAGAGACAGAATGGCAGTAACTGGTATGACATGACAAGCAGTACATATTTAGAAGACCAGAACAATAGGCATTCCAAGTATGACTCTAGTATTACACATTGCTATCTTCAGTGCAGTTGCTTGGTTCACAGGTATCAACATATATAGTAAGTCAGGGTGAGAATCCCATCAATTAACTGCTAGTTTCAAAAACCTGCTGAAGATTCTAAGGACCATTGCCTTACCCATCTTGTGCGCATGTATGGCTTTGTCTCTGACACTGACAAAGGATCTACAAACTGTGGTACAGGGTTTCAGGGGAAATCCTGAGGGGATTTGACTGACCTTGTCAAATACAAAAGTTACATTTCTTGTTATA